TCACTTCTCACAACTCTGTTTCCTCCTTCGTAGCTGAGCGAACACTCTTATACAGCGAGTCAACGACCGTTTTGATCGATTCGCCGATATCGTCTCCACGAAAGTAGGAACGCAAAATCGACGATGCTGCATTGAGAGGCAGGTGCTTGGAGAGAAATTCAAATCTGCAAATATAGTTCTTAACCTAGAGCCTTGATGAAAGATTAAAGTAGAGCTACTGGAGTTGCTGGGGAAGGGGGGGGGTAGCACGCGGCGAGGATAAGGTGCGGCTACACTTGTCGTCTGACACCTTGAAGGCTCTCTGCTTAGAAGCAGGAGCACTATATGGATCAGACGGCGCGGGCATACTCACGCCGCCACCCTGCCTCCCCTCCCCCCCCAACACAAGTAGTGCTAAAAAGTAATCAATTTAGAGTAACAAACGCACCTAGCATATCGTTCCAAAGGTAATCGGTAAGCCGTAATACCATCCTTCTGAGCAGCTGAGACACTACTCGACCATGGTTGATAGTCCCTGCTCGTACAAAGTACGACAGCTCGAACATTTGGAGGGGGTTCATCGGGTAGAAATTGAGTTGCACGCCAGGATATATACATGATATCTGAAATGAAGTGGAATTCAGTCGATGGTATAGGCTCTGTTCGACGGGGGGGGGCATTCCGCACGTTCCCTAGATTCTTTTGCTGATTGCTGTTGAACTACACGTTCACCTTAGTAAGACGACCTGTAGACTCATGTCGAGCAAGAACCCTCGTAATTACACAGCTTTATAGGAATTTACAGGTATCCATAGATGCACCGCTGCCCTCACCACGCCGAACTGCGCCGATGTTAATAAAGAAAACAAATAATTACTAAAGAAAATTCACGAAGAAGTATAGTCCAATCAAAATGCGCGCTCAGGGCACGTGCCTGCGTTGAAGAATCCCAGCGGTGGGGGAGGGGAGTCCTGTTTGGTCGTTGGATGGAGGGCTCGTATTTGGTTTGATGAGAAACTTTTGATATTTGATTTTTCTTGTTTCAGCAGCGCTATCCACATCGCTGGGAAGATTCCGATGGGAGGGAGCGTATTTGCTCGTCGTCTACCTCCCCTAGTTGGTAACCTTTCAGAACTACATATTAAACTACTAATTTCGATAGCTAAAAGTAGTACTTGGTTGGTGACGACCCCTACCCTACTCGACGGAACTTTTTTTCGTGAAAATATGGGACACTTTCGGGGAACATCGAAAAATGAGGTAGATGGCTGGAAAAAGTTGAAGGATGAGAAAGAGGGGTCGTAGAGGATGAAATTGGGAGTCGCACTTTCCGAGCATTTCCCCATCTGCGCTCAAAACGCTGACGCAAAGATAAAGGCAATCTGGAACATTCGTTTCTCATTGATTGCATTACCATAGGGTTGCTTAGTTAGTGGCCAAAAAGCCGTACTATAGTTCTACCTGAAGGACTGCTTCCAGAAGCATGCTCAACACCTTTCGCCGTTAATGTTGGCGCGAAAGGGTGGCGTGAGAAGGGCTTGTCGATAGAAGGCGGACCATATTGGAAGAGTAAGTGTCTGAAAATAACAAAACGCAATACACAACAGCTCACTAAATTTCATAGAAAGCGTACCTCTTCAGTATTTCTGAGAGTTGGGCATCTGGGCGGAAATTAGCTATGGTTATATTGAACGGAATGCGAGAATTCCAGTTGCTATCATGAAAGTGCTTGAAGCTGCCTGAAATTGGAGGTGGAAAGTTTGGAAGGGCACAGGTATAGCAGAAGCAGGTAAAACACACTTGGCAAACGTAGATTGGATTGCCACACTGAAATCTGTGAGGAATCTGCAGTCGATTACAAGCTTGGGTAGCTCTTCTTCGCACCTTTGCAACGCAAGTAGTCTACTTCCGTACAAACGATCAATGGTGCCTTAAATAAAATTATATTATCACATTAATAGAGTGACATATGTTTAGCACTGGTGCAGTATTTGCGCAAGATTTCTACATCGCTTCGACGCAGCATTCACAGTGCGCGACTCAGTCGCGCGAATTGAGCGATGGATTGCGATACAAGGAGTACTGCGATTCCGGGATTAGCAGTGGAGCGTGTTTGCCATCGTTTTTGTTACTTATATAACAAGTCAGGGGGAATTCGCCGCGCTCGTGCGCGTTGCGTGCGACGTCGCGCCCGCAAATGACGACGTTTCTAGGTCGTACATGGCGATCTCTACAATGTGATAGTCCATGTGAAATCCGGTGCTACATCGACAGGCCGATGCAAATTAAGAAAGCGCCGCGCTTATCGCCGCGCACGGTGTGGCGGCAATTTGAAAATTGTTTTGACCTTCTTCCGTTTCGGGATCGGTTTTACTATTGCAGTTCAGGACACGAGTCGTGGCATTGTGCATAAGTACAGCAGTCTCTAGCTACGTGATCTGCCCACATCAATGGAGGACCAATAGCCGTGGAGCGAGTGACGCGCACGCGACACCACTTAAAAGGCCTCTTGCATTGCCCTTGCTGCAATTTGGATATGCTACATTACAGTCGGGATCGAAGGATCGCCTAAGTAGCTTAACTGCCAGCGTCGCGCACTGTGAACCCATAAAAGCTTCTACAGTCTTGCTTGCTGCGCATGCTAGGCGTGTCAGGGATGGATAATGAACCTGGTAAGGGACCACAGTTGGTGGAAAACGGGCCGGCGCCACGCCAAACCCGGCGCCTGACATGGCCAGCATCCGCAGCGAACATGACTGAATACAGGCCAAAATTCAGACCAGATGAAAAGGAAGTTAAAGAATGCACAGAAAGAGCAAATCCGCCATATATGGCTGTTCGTTTCCAAGTTGGCTGATCACAACAAAATTTGAAACGAAAACTTTACGATGACAAATGTACGCACGTCGAAATTCTTGACCTCGAAGTTCTATTAAAGCGTTAAATCCAGGTGCATAGACCATCTCCCCATTATCTTCTCTTCTTTGATTAATCACTGATATCTGAAGAGCAGGAACTAACAAAGAGACTGGTAAATCGTTGAAATTACCAGGTACTTACATGATACACTTGCCTGCTCCTTTTCGCCAGTTGTGCTGAATTTCCGGGCGTTTTTCCTTTCAAGCCGTAATTGATTGAGAAATTGACAGCGATCTTCTGCTGACCATGTTCCAAAATATGTAGACCAAATGGAATCAGTGAATTCGGGGAGAGAGTCCTTCCCGAACATTTCCAAGAAAATCTGCAATCAAACATATCTGGCAGTACTTCGTAGCTCGCCACCTCCGCGCGTGCATTGTGTTGTGGAATTTTCAATAAGCAGCATGATTTAATTTTACTGCGTCTTTAGAGAGAAGAAGAAACATAACAAACCGTTGGAGCACCTTAAAAGCTCTAAATTTTTGCAATCGATTCCGAGCAAAGTATGGGCATAGAACGAAGAAACACTGAGCGCGCGGACTAGGGACCAGACGACGAAAGACGAGAAGATATATAGATGTGCGGGACGGCTACTTCCCTAGGAACACCTGTACTGCGCGTCTCTGTTATTCAGAGGGCATGAACAGCCATAAGTCATTTTTAAGTGAATTGGACCCTGGTTCGAATGTCGCGCACATGACTATATGCACGTGTCGCGCACGCAACTACCAGCAACTTCGCGGGGTAGCCGCAATGTGGATCGCCTGACCGACATACCATTAGCAGTTCACCATCCCAAACTGATAACATTTCAATATATGTGCAATTGCTTGGACATAAATTAAACACTTCAGGCGCGTTCTTCTTTGCGACTGTGGAGATTCCGGCTTCAGACTGCGCGACGAGGGGAATATAGGGCGCAGTTTGCCGACGGGGGCATTTTGCACTTCCGTTGCTTCACTAGTTCTGGTTTACAAGTCTCACTCTGGTGAAACCTGTGAACTCTTGTGAAGCTGGAGCAAGCTCGTCAAGCCATCATGGTAAAACCTGTCAACTCGAGAAGAGGCTGTCTAGATGGGTCGACACGTTGATGGTTAAGTGCAAAATGCCCCCCCCCCGCCGCCAAACGGCGCCGGAATATAGTATAATTCTTGCGATTTGGGAGACGCGGCTTTTCCGCCGATTGTGCGCCCAGGTAGTGAATGCATACCGATGGGAGCCAGTTGCTAGCGATTGCGGAAATTCCGCAATCTCCCAAAACGCCGGATTGCCAGGTCTCTCTAATCGTGGGATCGCTTCATTTCCGCAGCCGCTAGATCAACACCTGCACTTCCTTTGTCGCGCGATCTCTCAAATCGCTGAATCTCGTCACTCGCAAAGTATGAATGCGGAATGAGCAGCACAGCTGCAGTCAGTAAAAGCGACACGAACATACCTGTAGTTCAGAAATAAGCGACGTAAGCTTGTCACGATGAGACGGACGTCTGACAAACTGTTTCAGAAACGCTTCTGATGGTAGAAAGTTCCTCACGTCAACGTCTTCACTTGAAGAAGGCAACGAGCAGAGCCATCTCCTTTGGCGGTGTAAAAGTGGTCGGAGGACAACGCGAAGCGCCCGCATTTCCTGACAGAAAATAAATTTTCCAGAACAAAAGAGATAAATTAATGTCATGATCCTCAAAATTCCTTTGTATAGTCAGTAGCTGAGGACAATCTTGATACAGTGGACTACTGATCTATTCATAAAAGAAAATAAAGGGCTAGAAAATGTTTCAAAAAAAGGTGATTAAAGAGTCAAGAGTACACAAATGAAGGACTATGAATCCCAGAAGATATCCTCACCTTACTCAAGTCCCTCGCCCCTCATTGAAATCTAAATGACATTCAACCATGAAGGAGTAGTGAAATCTTAACAAGTTTTTTCTGAAACCCAAAACTATGGCACCTAGGCAGCGAGGAGTTCGAAGGAAAAAAATTGCAAGAACTCTCGGCTTTCCTCCCCGAGTATTTGAGGTTCTCTTCACAAGAGCTTCTTAGATCCCCTCAGTTTGTACAACAAGTAAAAATTGCTATAATCATGCTGGCAATGAGATTTATAAAATTGTTCGTTGATTGCCTTCAACGCTTTCAGAAATGCAAACAGATAATTTCGGACCAAACCGTTGCTAGGGGCACCAAAACCAGTAAAATGTGTGCAACGGAAGGAAAGGGAGAGAACGGGAAGCAAAAAAGAAAGGAAGAGGAAGGTCCCACGGCTGACAGATATCATGTAACTCTTTAAATTTTCCTGCGAAGATTCTGCGCTCCAGAAAAGAAACCGCGTTGCGACCGCGCGCGCTTTCTGGCAGCAATGTCAATGCGGCTCTGAGCTTTTCCTTGTTGTTCGGAGGGGGCTGCTGTACTCGCCGGATGCGGCTTCCAGGAATTTCTGTTCTTCTTTCATTTAGTGATACTTAAAATGTTTTTACACTTGTTCCTGTTTCCATACGGTCGTGAATCGTTAGGTCATGTTTTCATGCCGTTAATAGGGTTGTGTTCTTGGTCGTTTAATGCGCGGCGATTGGCTTGAAGGCGGCATGTGTTTTTTGTTGTCGGCGAATTGTCCGAATTTGAATTTGCTGGTAGTCGGTGCTCATTTGTCGGTAAGATAAAAGGACTGGCGTCGGCGTCGACCGACGCCGCCGACATCGCCCCCAAACCCGCCGCGCTGACACCGCAGATGCGCACTTCACCACGCTGATGTTTTCTAGTGCTATCCACAGTGGTTTTTTCTGTAATCAACCCTTATCATCATATTCTGACTTATCTTTTTAACGATGAACTTGTTTTCCGTGGCACTGTACAAACTCGGCGCTGTTCGGCGACGGGGGGGGGGCACTTTGCACTTTCGCTGCTTCATTTGTTTCGGTTTATCTTACTTTGGTGAAACCTGTGAACTCTTGTGACACTGGAGTGAGCCTGCCTCGCCAAGATTTGACAGGCTTTGAAGATTTGGTTCTTACGAACTTTGGCTGGTTTTATTTCGTGGCTTCACTTGATGTCTTGACCCGTCGCAAAGTGCACCTGCGCCGGCGCTAAACTGCGCCCACAACTTCATTTTATATGGCAATATGCCAACCTAGACCACAAAAAAAACTAGTAGGAAGGAGCACATCACCACTTGTTCCCTCAAGGGGCATTATTTATCTCATGCCGTGGCCTCTTAACTCCTGCGCAGACTTATCAACGAACGCTATTTTGGTAAATTATTTTTTCATAATCACACTGTAAAAATTCACGAATCGAGATCAAGAAGTAGATAATTTCTGTTTCGCACGTGCTCCCAGACATCAAATGAACATGGTAGATAATAATCTTGCTAGCGGCCGAGTGGCCTGAACCATTTGGCCCATAGTTTCCGTGTTTCTAACATTTACTAGTGTTTCCTCCACTTTTTGATCGGGGGGGGGTTGTACCCAGCGCCATAGTTCAATCATTCATTTTTCTGGAAAGAAGACTTCGCTTAACGCAAATTCAATCGATAATATGTCGTCATGAGGGCATCTGTATTGGTTTACATCGGGCTATGGGGACTCTCGGATAAACATTACATTTACTCTTTGAATATGAACCATGTCGCGATCTTTCTGTCCTTATTACGGTTCCATTCGCTATAGTTTTTATGTTTCCCAGCCCGTTATCAATACTGTAAGATCAAATTTTAAAACCGCTATCAAAACTGGAGAAGTCGGCACTTACTTAATTGGGGCGCTCGGCCGTCCCTCTCTGCCCATTCTCCAACTTAGGATAAGAACGCAGTGAGTCGTGAAGGGATAGTCTGGCAGAGAAGGCCTAGTCTCCACTGGGGTCTTGAGCTTAATTCCTTTGAATATGTCGATATACTATTTTCTGCACCTTCTCGTCCGTATGGCATTCCGTAGCCATCTTGACCTCAAACATACCAGCCTTTCACGGACGATAAGTGATCACCTAACTGGGTTACCCCCTCCCTCCAAGAACCCCAAATTCTGGGTTGCCACATGCTTCTCGCACATTTCGATGCTTTAGCAGCCGCTGTCTATGTCTGTTTGCGTTACATGGTTTCGTAATAGGACCACGCACAAAAATTCATGATGTCACGTAACCCTCCACTAGGCCCAGGCATGGGTTTGGAGAAGGGGCACAGCGCGTGAAGAGTACTCCCTGAAACTTGAAAACTTCTTCGGCAACATTCCAGTGAGTCTGGCTTTTGAAAGTTTGGCTTAATGGAATCGGTACTACGAGAACCTTTTTGCACAGTCCCCTATCAGTATTTTTAAACTGTACTACCTCTAAACCATGATGGAAACCATTCCGTGCGCTAGTTAACCTCAGGGGCATTTGAAGGACTCCTTGCGCAAAAATGGGCACCGCAATGGAGAATTCTTCAATTAGGAACAACAATTAGCCTAAAGGGAAAGGAACTTCGAAGTTGTTGTGTCATCTCCAAGGGCGGTATTTCCAACTGGATGACGTTGGCCTCTATTTTTGTATAAGGAAACTCATTATCTTATCTTATTATCTCACATCTCTTATAATGCATTATCTCTCATCTCATACTTCGTAGCTCCTTCTCCCCCTCTTGATGCCTCCACCCCCCTCCCCATAGTTTCAGTCATCATCTTCATTGTGGTCGTCTTGGTTCTGTGAAAATCCCTTGGAGTTATTTAAAATGCTTCAGCTCACTGGAGTAGCGCAGAATTTTTTTATCAGCCTCAATAAAGAGGGTTTTTCTGCCGTTGAACGTGAGGGTAAATAAGTGATGATAGGAGTTGCTGGAAGGAGACAATCAGATTCTGGCTCGACACAAGCTTTTTATTGAAGTTGTCGATAGCTTATACGTTCTTCAGTGAGAAAATCTGTTGATACGTGTATTGGGACAATTGGGCTGAAAAAGCGTTCATACTTCGCGAGCTAGTCGCTCTGA